TTAGAAAGTAAAGTTTCTTCTGACATTACTTCCTTAAAAAGTAAAGTTTCGTCCGATATTTCTTCCTTAGAAGAAAAGGTGACTTCTGACATATCTTCTTTAAAAAATGAAATTTTTTCCGACTTGCAAAACAATAGTATATTATTTTCACACAAGTGATGTACAATATTTTTCCTACGACCACAAAATAATGTCATCAAAAAAATGTAAAACCAAGGTTATTACTATAATAATTAAAATGTATTTAAAAAAATAATCAACAATAATCGTATTTATTCAATTTTCATATTTTCTAAACAAAAAAAACTAAAAAAAATAAAAAAAAAATAAAAAAAAATAAAAAAAAACAAAAAAAAAATTCTGCCCCGACAGGATTTGAACCATAGATTGAACGCGGTCGAAAAATGGCAAAATTGATAAGTTCGACGTCCTAACCAGCTGAGCTAACAGCCCTTGTATCAATTGAATGATCTAATCGGTTATGTATTTAACCAAAATAAAGAGCAAACATTATTTTAAAATTATTTTAATAATAATTGTTAAAGATAAATATCTAGGATCTAATTTACAACAATTTCAATAATTTAACAATCATATCGATTTTAGTATTAATATGGATATTACATAGATCAAAATAGAAATTAGCTTACAAAATAATATCAAAAAAATGTAAAACCAAGGTTATTATTACTATATTAATTAAAATGTATTTAAAAAAATAATCAACAATAATCGTATTTATTCAATTTTCATATTTTCTAAACAAAAAAAACTAATAAAAAATAAAAAAAAACAAAAAAAAAATTCGGCTCCGCCAGGATTTGAACCATAGATTGAACGCGGTCAAAAAATGGCAAAGTTGATAAGTTCGACGTCTAAACCAACTGAGCTAATGGGCCTTACGTCAATTGAATGATCTAATCGGTTATGTATTTACCCAAATTAAAGAGCAAACATAATCTTAGTTGTTTTAAAATTATTTTAATAATAATTGTTAAAGATAAATATCTAGGATCTAATTTAAAACAATTTCAATAATTTAACAATCATATCGATTTTAGTATTAATATGGACATTACATAGATCAAAATAGAAATTAGGCGTTTGACATTTTTTGACAACTACTGCGGAAAGTAACATATTCTCACTTGGGTGGAAAGTAAATTCTTAGTCATACGCGTGTGATATAGGACACTTTCCATAGGACTATATAGTGTGATATGTGTCACTTTCCTAAGTGGTCGTAGGAAAAATATCTTCTCTGAAAAATGAAATATCTGCTGATGTGGAAAATAAGATGACTTCCGTTGAAGAGAAAATAATGTCTCCCGTTAAAGACAAAATAAAACAGATGGAAAAGAAAATAGAAGAACTGGAACATACAGAACCGGCCAAGAACGGTGAAATAAAGTGCCATGAGGTAGAGTCATGGACGAACTACCTTAAGCAATTCGAAACAACAGCCAGAGCAAACGAATGGTCTAAACAAGAAAAAGCAGTGAATCTAACAATCGCCCTTCGATGAGATGCTTTAGATGTTCTTCAGACAATACCTGTGGAAGAAACCGATGATTTTGAACAACTGAAAAAGAGACTTAACATGCGATATGGCCACGAACATTTGGATCATTTATACCAGTCACAGTTAAAGAATCGTAAACAGAAACGAGACAAGACTCTTCAGGAATATGAAGTAGATATTGCCAGGTTGGTGCGATTTGCCTATCCATCAGCTCCGGAAAACATGATGAAATGTTTGGCAGTCCAAACATTTGTTGATGGACTCCGTGACCACGACAAAATATTGGTCGATGTCTTGTCTGCTGTAAAGTAAGGACTGTAAAAGAAGAAGAAGAAGAAGAAGAAGAAGAAGAAGAAGAAGAAGAAGAAGAAGAAGAAGAAGAAGAAGAAGAAGAAGAAGAAGAAGAAGAAGAAGAAGAAGAAGAAGAAGAAGAAGAAGAAGAAGAAGAAGAAAAGGAAGGTAAACTCGACCAACTGGTAAACATGATGAAGAGCCTTACTGACAGAAAGAATAAGACGAAGACTATCAGGTGCTAGAATTGTGGTGAACTAGGACATGTACGCAGTTCGTGCAAACGCCCTAGGGTCCCAACAACTGAAGACAACACACCGCAGGAAAACTCCAAAGACCCTCTTGTACTGATAGCCTCTTTGAAATGTCGCGATGATAGTGTATACGTAGACGGCGAAGATTGTTCAGGAAATGAAGGAAGACAGGGTGATAGAACCTTCTACCAGCCCATGGGTCTCTCCGGTAGTCCTGGTCCAGAAAAAGGATGGAACTACGAGGTTCTGTGTGGATTACCGTCAGTTGAACAATGTTACTAAGAAAGACAGTTATCTTCTTCCTCAAATCGACGATACATTGGACACATTGGCCTGAAGTAAATTATTTTCTACCTTAAAGTCTGGATACTGGCAGGTGGAAATGGACCCAGTAGACAAAGAAAAGACAGCTTTTACCATCGGATCTGGATTGTGGCAATTCAATGTTATGCCATTTGGAATATGTAATGCCCCCGCAACATTTGAAAGACTTATGGAAAATGTATTGAGAGGGTTAACCTGGAAAACATGCCTGGTGTATTTAGACGACATGATAGTCTTGGGGAAGACATTTGATGAACATCTAAAAAACTTAGAAGATGTTTTTAAAAAACTTCAAGCTGCCCAACTGATGCTAAACCCCAAGAAATGCCAGCTGTTCCAAAGTCAATTTATTTTATTTATTTAAGACCTTCCAGATTACATAAAATCATAAGTGTTACATATGGTTGAACTCGTATTGAATAGGAGATTCCAATAATGACTGACTATACAGGGTGATGAATTTGAAAAACCAAAGTGACTAATAATTTAAGAGAAACGGCAAATCTGACAACATTGCAAATATCAAATCTAGAATCACCGTATCCCAAAATAGGTGTACCTCATATTTTGTACAATTAAGACTAGCAATTTACGAGATAATTGGCCGTTTCCATACTTTTGGGCCACTCCGTATAAGAGCAAATTGAAGAAATCCTGGTGTCGAAACAATGTGTACGAAGGTTGAGAGGGTAGTCAAAGGAAGAGAAGAAAGAGAGAGATGAGAATATGAACGTATTAACAGTGCACGAAATTGAGTATATACAGAGTATATACTAAAACTGTACGTGTTCGATATGAGATCCAACTTGAGACAGGAGCGGCACTTTACATGCTACTTAAAAAATATGTATTTAAAAAACATAAAACAAATAACATAAACTTCTCAAATTGGACTGCCAAATTAACTTAAAAAATTATCTGTCGCGGATCTTACTTATAGAAATTGTTAAATACTTTAATATTTGAAAAAGTTGACAAAATATTGGAGTCAATTGAAAATTAAAATTTTTTGTGGGTCTATGGAAATCATTAACATTGCATAATATAAAAAGCTATATTTTTTATACTTTTTTTGTTGACAATCAAATAAAAGATGGAAGGAAATTTGAAATGTGAACATTGCCGATTCGCCTCCTTATACAGGGTGTTAAAAAAAAAGTGTCACAAAATAAAACGGGGGGTAGTATGGGCCAAAATATGCAGAAAAGTCTTAATAAACATATGTCCGCAAATGAATGGTTTCAGAGATACAGAGTGTTTTGTATCATTTTTTGATTATCTTTTTTCATTCTCAAAAACTTGCTTTTCTTATCGGAGTCTACCGATGTTTTTTCATAGATACTATTTGCAGTTATTATTTTGTTGTGGGTGAATAATTTTATAAATTTTCGTTATGCCTGTTTACACCTCGGTTTACACTAATATTGAATTAGCTGACATGCATTTTATGTACGGTCGTGCAAATGGCAATGCGAGGGAAGCGCTACGTCAGTATATCGACGCTTTCCCTAATCGCCACATCCCTTCATTTAACTCTATGTTGTTATTGATTGTTTATAAATATCATTGTTTTTTTATAATAATAAAAAATTGTTATAAACACAAAATGGTCCGTATCTCCGAAACCGTTAATTTGCGGTCATATATTTATTAAGACTTTTCTGCTTATTTTGGGTCATACTATTCACCATTTCATTTTGTGACACTTTTTTTTTAACACCCTGTATATAGTCTTCATTATTTTTCATAATATTACAGTTCTTTCTTTCTAACTGATTTTTAAATGACTGGTATAGGAAAACTGGGATGTAAAAAAAAGGTAGAAAGTCCACAGTCTCCAACAATGTATCATTGCAAAAAACGTGTTTTTCTTTGTGAAATAAAAATTAATATCTTATTTTACGGACAACCCTCGTATATATGGCTGTAGTGCACCGTATTTTACTTTAATGAAAGGGAAATGTATCAAACTTTTATATTTATAGCAAAGCCCTATTTAAAATTTTTTTCTATGTTCATGCAGAAACAAAACTTTATTGAACTATATTTAGTGAAAAAACTGGTTTTTTATTGCACTAGTGCAATAAAAATTTTATTGCACTCATCTGTCATTTTACTACAGCGTTTTATGATCATGACAAATATAAATATTTAAATCAACGCCAAATATTTAGTCCATTTTCATTTTCTGTGTTACGTTTTAAAAACAATTGCATATTTTATACTATTTTCAATCATTTAATAAATAAATTAATAAAAAATGTATTTTATTAAAAATGTCATTACAAATTATGAACACAAACGTAAATAAATGCCTCAAACAAAGGTACACGATCGCGGCTACTATGATTTGGATAATACAACTACAGTTATATAAAACATTTTTTGCTTTTTGCATGAACGTAGAAAAAATATTGTATGCAAGTCGTGCAAAAAGTGTTTATTGCACTTGTTGCATAAATAACTATTATTATGAATTGAACGGTATTATAAACTCTGTATATAATTTTAATACACTAATTTCAGAAATTTTACCCAATGTAAAGATTTTCGTATATTTCTTATTTATCTGAAAACCGAAAATTAATTAAGAAAATAATTTTGTTTAGGTCTTGTATGACGGCAAGTTGTCGAGCGCCATCGTCTTCATGTACAACCCCGTGGCGACCGATACCCAACTGTGTCTACAATCCGCTCCCAGGGGAAATGTTTCTTACTTCGTGCACACGCCACATGCCCTCATGTTGCAAGTAAGTATGAAAGTTAATTCAATAAAATGAAGTTTAATCGAATTGTTTGTCGAATGTAGCGTTTAATATATATTTTTTTATAAATGAAACATCCATTGTAGTCTGTTGTGAAGTAAGAACAACTCTCAAAATCAATACCTCAATATAAATTTTTGTTGAAATCAGATTTTTGCGGCTAGTTTCGGTCTAACATGGCCATCATCAGATCTATAATACAAAAAATACAAAATATATAAAAATTAAAAAACAACAATAGAAGGTTTACTTAGTTACAAGAGTTTCTTAAACAGTAAAATAAATCCTAAATTCATCCACCCTAGGGGTGGTTGGACAACAATAAAATTAGCGGGACATTTTTAAGGATATATTTTTTGACAAAATTGTGGTAGATATAACAATTAATAATGGAAAAATGACAGGAATTTGATATTAAGTCAGTGTTTTATCTTATTTTTCCATTGTTTATTGTTATATTTTAACCATACCACAATTTATTCAAAAAACATTTTCTTAAAAACTTTCCACTAATTTTTATTGTTGTTCAACCACTCGTAGCATGGATTTCGTATTAAATTAAAAAAATGTTTACACCCACATGGATATTAGCTTATCTACGCACAGATTACAAAACGAAAAATTATGCTATTGCCTTCAACTGAACGAATATATTTCATATCCATTCTAGGTAGTGAGAACACTGCCGATTCTCGGATGGGGAAAAATTAAATGAACTTTTTCCTTTTATTTGTTTATTTTATTTTAAAAATTATTAAAAGTCATAAATGATTTTAAAATTAGTTATTTTGTCTTAATAACCTAAAATATTTTTTTTCTACACCCGTATTATAATAATGCACTTATATGCCCATAATCCGTTTCATAATGATACCCATTATGATACAGATTTTTCATTACGATACAGATTTTTAATCAATAGAAACCTACAATTTTTCAATCAAGCATGCTGTTTGACGTTTGTCCTAGGTTCCTATGTAATTATTTTAGTTGTCCAAACGTATTAAATTTTCGTAGGTAGCTAAACTTCGATAATTATAATATTAAAATGTCTGATATTAGCGATATAGAAGACTCCTCCACACATATCGGAGAAAGCAGAAAATACAGTACAAAATATTTTACCGCAAAAATCTAGGGAAATACCAATACCTGAAGTAATACCATTAATTACAATTTTGTAGAATTTTTTATAGAAATACGAGTAATTACTGTTATTGTGTTCAATACCAATATAAATATAATATTTATAGGTCTTGATTATTTATCGGGTGTAGAAAAAATAGCGTATGCAACTCTCATGTAATGGTTATTAAAACACTCGCATAAACCATACGAAACTCGCCTTTGGCTCGTTTCGTATCCCGGTTAATGCTCGTGTATTAATAACCATCATTACATGATCGTTGCATAATATACTATTTTGTAAATACCATCATACATCATACCATCATACAAAGATAGAAAAATGTTTAGAACAAAGTCTTGGTCACAGTTAATTTTTTGATACAGTTTCATATTGCTACTAATTTGGACTTCGCAGGCTCATCATCGGGCCTAGAAAGGAAGAATGAACAGTCAAGTGCAAAAGTACAAATACAAAAATATTAAACAGACCAAATACAACTAAAGTTAAAAAAATCATTGATAAACAATTTATATTATATTATTAACTTACTTGTTAAGTCAAAGGTGTTAATAAAGATAGTGGAATCATAAGGACAGGGAGTTGTTGTAGTAAAAAGCAAGAAGAGGGATGACATGAAAGAGGGGATGGTGGGAATCGTGCTTAACGGGATACATACTCAGTTGAGATGTCAGAGAGGACATATCCAAGTAATGGAGGCCACCAGCTCCTAGATAGAAAATTGTTTTACTTTTTTGCCATGACTGGAAGTTTTTACTAGCTAAATAAATTGTTATTCGTGAAAAGTGAACAGTTGAGAACAATTAAAAGTAAAAATACGATGTTAAATATTATCTATGAGAAATCTTTCCAACATATCAATAAACTGGTGCTTAACACTAGTAGACTGGAGAGTACTCGTACTTAACAGTAAAACTAAAAAAGATCCACACTGGTGAGGCCACGCGTAAGGTAGATTTTTCAGAAAAATTCTTGTTTAGAAGTATAAAATACTTTGGAAGGCGCCAAAATAAGCAGCACCTTTGACTTAACAAATAATATAATTGTTAATCAAGGATTTTGTTAACTTCGGTTGCATTTAAAATTTTTAACCTTTGTGCAGTTTTGTCCTTTGAACTCATTATACCTCCTTTTTATGCTCTACTTCATTTTAATACAATAAAAATCAGATGATTTTTTTTTAAATAAAATCCTCTAGCACACAATACTCTATTGATTACCTGCGAATTTAATTTTCATGCTTTTCCTTTTTACCACTTTCGTGAAATCTAATTTGTTTCAAAAGAGAGCTTTATGTTTGTAATATAAAGCTTCAGCGACAAGTGAGGATTAAGAGCCCGTTTTAAAAGCGCGACATTACAAAAGAGATCTCAGAGTAAATTGGAGTCAACAAGATAACTTCGTATTTACTGGGGCCCGATAATGATATTAAGTTTTTTAATTGAAATCGGATATACTTCGCGATATAGTTATTCGTAATGAAAAAATAGTCATCGATTTTTATCTACTTAAAAAATGTCTTGCAATTGGAAATTTATCGAAGACAAAAATTTAAAGGACAGTGAGATAAAGTGAAATTTTTCATTATGTCCAACTAATCGTATTATGGATTTAATTTTAACTACCAAAAGTTAAACATAATTAAATATTTGAGTCGTTCCATTCCAAAACTTGCCTTATCCACTTTTTCTTGAACTCTACGTTTTAAATTCAAAATATTTTTCCAAAAAGCGCCTGAAACAATAGGAAAATAAGGGCGAAAAATGAGAGGCGTTCCATAACTTGTCTTATCCAATTAGTATGACGCGCCAAAACTTGCCTTATCCTACTGTCCAATCACAACGCTTGTTTGGATGTAAGAAAGCGCGGGATCATTTCCGTATTGTGTTCCACGTGTCAGTGTGTAACGAACTACGATCGTGAACAATAATGTTTTGTATATTTTCGTTTCCTATAAAATTAATATAAAAAATCTGATGTGTCCAACACATGACTTTCCTATCTAGTTATTACAGGCTTTTTCCGTTTATTGTATACAACCTATTGCAGCATCTCTATAAATGTTTAGAGGATAAACTAAATATATATACATTGTCCACATACATCTACCGCGAAACATTTTTCTATAGATATTCATTGAAAATGAAAATACTGAAAAATTTAAATTTAGCACTTTTCCTACAATTTTTCCATTACGGTCCATTTAAAAAAAATCATGTATGAACAAATATTATAGAGATCGATATCGCAAACAACTTTTATTTCAACAATTTTCATAAAAATCAGAATTTTGCACATTTTGTCAAATTTCTCGAATACGGACCATTTCAGGAAATTTTTACATAAGGCAAAAATTATAGATAATAATATTAGAAGTAACTTTTATTTGAACAATTTTCTTCTCCAAACATAAATAACAGATATATTCCATAAAATATATAAACGGCCTCCCATAAAGTACCCCCCCAGATGTTCCGACTTTGTCCAAAATCTAATCATTTCACGTCAGGCCGAAATAAAACTTAAGTTTAAAATTTACTGATTTTTTCTTTATCCGTTTTTGAGTTTTCTTCAAATTTCGAAATTTACACATTTTCTCAAATATCTCGAATACGGTCTATTTTAGAGAAATTATCTATGGGACAAAAATTATAGAGAATTATATTACAAACAACTTTTGTTTAAACAATTTTTATAAAAAAAAAATATTTTTTTACATTTTGTCAAATTTCTCGAATACGGACCATTTTAGGAAAATTTTGTAAATGACAAAAATTATAGATAATAAAATAAGAAGTAACTTTTATTTAAAAAATTTTCTTCCCCAAACGTAAATAACAGATATATTCCATAAAATATAAAAATGACCACCTATAAAGTACCCTCCCAGATGTTCCGACTCTGCCCAAAATCTAATCAGCTCATTAGACGCTGGAATAAAGCTTAAGTTTGAAATTTGGTGTTTTTCTGTGTATCGGTTCATGAGTTATGCGTTATACAGACACACACACACACAGACACACACACACACAGACACACACACACACACACACAGACATCATCGCGAAAATAGTCAAAACGGATTCAGGGGACCTCAAAACGTAAAAATCTGATGTGTCCAACACATGACTTTCCTATCTAGTTATTATAGGCATTTTCCGGTTATTTTGTACAACCTATTGCAGCATCTCTATAAATGTTTAGAGGATAAACTAAATATATACATTTTACACATACATCTACCTCGAAACATTTTTCTATAGATATTCATTGAAAACGAAAATACAGAAAAATTTAAATTTAGCACTTTTCCATTACGGACCATTTTAGAAAAATCATGTATAAACAAAAATTATAGAAATCGATATCGCAAACAACTTTTAGTTCAACAATTTTCATAAAAATCAGAATTTTGCACATTTTGTCAAATTTCTCGAATACGGACCATTTCAGGAAATTTTGACATAAAACAAAAATTATAGATAATAATATTAGAAGTAACTTTTATTTGAACAATTTTCTTCTCCAAACATAAATAACAGATATATTCCATAAAATATAAAAACGGCCTCCCATAAAGTACCCCCCCAGATGTTCCAACTTTGTCCAAAATCTAATCATTTCACGTCAGGCCGAAATAAACCTTAAGTTTAAAATTTAATGTTTTTTTTTTTATCCGTTTTTGAGTTTTCTTCAAATTTCGAAATTTACACATTTTCTCAAATATCTCGAATACGGTCCATTTTAGAGAAATTATGTATAGGACAAAAATTATAGAGAATTATATTATAAACAACTTTTATTTGAACAATTTTTATAAAAAATTATGTTTTTTACA